GGTAGTGTGAGATGTGTGTATCAACATGTGCTACGAATTCTGTACTAAAACTAGAGAAGCTCATACAAGCTAGAAATTAGGGAAGATCAAGAGTTAGGACGAAGTGTGGAAGTAAGTGAGAGAGATGTTTACTTCTTTGCAGCTTCATGCCTTCGTACTGTTTTTCTTTCTGTCACAGTAACAAACACACATATACAGGGGCTGCAGAGAACCTCAGCAGCGACTAGTGGGTGAGTCACTGTGTCAACGAGGAGTCCTCGTGGCTTCACACACACACACACACACACATACACACACAGACGCTATTTCTGCGTCTCTGACACCCCAGACATAGTTTCTCTGTTCCACTGTGAAGGGAAAGCAGTAAAGCAGCCCTATGGCGAGCCAAGGAGCACTCACACCTGCAGTCGAGTGTGTTTGTGCATGTACGAATGTGTGCGTTTTTCCAGCCATGTTAAAGTGGTCTGACAAGGAGTGTGTAGGTTAAAGAGCCTCCTGTGGCTCTTGCTGCAAATCAGAAAGGCTATTTTAAAGCTTAAGATGCAGGCATGTGAAAGTTCATACAGTGCTATGGCCTGGAATAGTCTTGCAAATTCACAAGACATTCTTGGCTTCTTTAATTTGACCTGGAGCTATGAGGCAAATAGAGCCAGTGAATAAAGTATTAAAGGAAGCCTTTATTTTAGCATTGTGCAAGTTTAATTCACACACTTTCCTTATGTCATAAGTTATTAAGTAAGACTGTGGTTTCTTACGCTGTAGCACGCTGTGTAATAGTATTATAAACATCAAATGCATCGAGCATGTTTGCCTTGCACTTCGGAGGTTGGGGGTTCAAATCCCTCCTCTGGTGTTCTTCCCGTGTTTTGGGGGTTTCCTCCGGGTGTTCCGGTTTCCTCCCACAGTCCAAAGGCATGTGTTGTAGGCTGATTGACATTTCCAAATTGTCAATATTGTATTGAATGCGATGGGTTGGCACCCCATGCAGGGTGTCCCCCGCCTTGTGCCCCAAGCTTCCTGGGATAGGATCCAAGCTCCTCGAGAAACTGTGCATGTATTCAGGCGGATACCCGATACCAATATCATTATCAGTGCATCCTTAACAAAAACAAACTGATGTCATAAAGCTAAAAACAGTGAATGCAGCTAAAAATAGTAGCAAAAAAAGTCTCTCAAAAGTCTCTCTTTACTAATAGAACATTTACTTAAAAAGGAGAACATCACATTTCAATCACAATTACTGAAAAAACACATATTATGTTTTTGTGTCATGTCCAGTTCCTTGACACTTTATTTTGTTGTTCTCTCTCCTCCTCCCCTCTATTTCTCTCCCTTGGTAGCCATGGCAACGTGCAAAGATCATGTGTGGCCTCTTGCAGGTGACAATACGGCTAAATACTGGCACTTAGCTTAGCGCTAATTAGAGCAGGCTGGGCTAATGAGGGGGTCAAGTGAACCCACTGATCGCTCCAGACCTCTTTTACCTTGCGCTGCTCTTTGTCAGATCTCACTCTTTCTCTCTCTTTCTTTCTCTCTCTCAGACAGCTGGCTGGTTTGCTGAGGGGGTGTGAGGTTGACCTTCAGGCTCTCCAGGTTTCCTCAGTGTCAACTCTGACGCGGAAATGAATTTCCACTGAGCCGAGGGCTGCTCCATCTAATTTGGTCAGGCTTGGCTGGTTCACCTCTTCTGCAGGAGCTCATGGGCACTTTATTTTACTTACTGTATTTTTATAAAACCACTATCATGCTTTCCTCACTTCAATCCTGTCATTTCCCCCCAATGTAAACACTACACATTGTCAATGTTTAACTGACAGGTGCTGCTGCTCTGGTATGTCCAGGCTTTCAATTTTAATCACTTTCTTCATTATTACGGTGGCCTGTAATTGTAAAATAAACGAACAAACTGAAAATGCAACAACAAAACAAAAACACAACAGCAGAACCAAAAACACGAAATCAAAGCAAGCAAGCAAAAAAAAAAGACATCAAAGCCAAAAGACACCAGATCAAAGCCCAAAACACCAAACACCACATCAAAGCCCAAAACACCAAACACAACATCAAAGCCAAAAACACCACATCAAAGCCAAAAGCACCAAACACCACATCAAAGCCCAAAACACCAAACACCACATCAAAGCCAAAAACACCACATCAAAGCCAAAAGCACCAAACACCACATCAAAGCCCAAAACACCAACCACATCAAAGCCCAAAACACCAAACACCACATCAAAGCCCAAAGCACCAAACACCACATCAAAGCCAAAAACACCAAACACCACATCAAAGCCAAAAACACTAAACACCACATCAAAGCCCAAAACACCAAACACCACATCAAAGCCAAAAACACCACATCAAAGCCCAAAACACCAAACACCACATCAAAGCCCAAAACACCAAACAGCACATCAAAGCCCAAAACACCAAACACCACATCAAAGCCCAAAACACCAAACACCACATCAAAGCCCAAGACACCAAACAGCTCATCAAAGCCCAAAACACCAAACAGCTCATCAAAGCCCAAAACACCAAACACCACATCAAAGCCCATAACACCAAACACCACATCAAAGCCCAAAACACCAAACACCACATCAAAGCCCAAAACACCAAACACCACATCAAAGCCCAAAACACCACATCAAAGCCCAAAACACCAAACACCACATCAAAGCCAAAAACACCACATCAAAGCCCAAAACACCAAACACCACATCAAAGCCAAAAACACCACATCAAAGCCCAAAACACCAAACACCACATCAAAGCCCAAAACACCACATCAAAGCCAAAAACACCAAACACCACATCAAAGCCAAAAACACCACATCAAAGCCAAAAACACCAAACACCACATTAAAGCCAAAAACACCAAACACCACATCAAAGCCAGAAATACCACATCATAGCCAAAAACACAAACAGCAAACTCACCATCTCACAAATTGATGCATGCTGTAGCCAATCAGCAATGAGGATTTTGAGTTTTGAGTTAATGATGTTGTGTTTTTGGTTTTGTTGTGTTTTTAGTTTTATTGTGTTTTTAGTTTTTGCTGTTGTATTTTTGTTTTTTGTGTGTTTTTTGTTTTGTTGTGTTTTTGGTTTTGTTGTGTTTTTAGTTTTGCTGTTGTGTTCCAATCACTGTTGTGTATTTGTTTTGTTAATGTATTTTGCACTGATGGGATGCTGCACATTACCCCCTTTGATTTTTCTCTCCAAGAAATTTCCATCATTTTTCTCTCCTGAATCTAATTTCCATCAGGTGTTGCCTGTGATATCTTCCTTCCCCTCGCGGTTCACTGTCTTTCTTCCACTTCCTTTTCCATCTGTTTGCTTTTTGCTTTCTATCTATTTCACTTTCATACATTCTTCCTCTCAGAATGGAGGCATATCTACAGATACAGAATGACAAGGCCTATTTTTCTTTCCTATATTTTCTCTCTCTCTCTCTCAATTCAATGTACTTTACTGGCATGATTGTTTACATACAATATTGCCAAAGTTTCAATATAGATAATAAAGGAGAATAAAAAACAATAATAAAAATAATAAAATAAAATAAAAATGATAATAGGAATAACAATATAAATAGAACAAAAAATAGTAATAATGACAAAAGTAAGTAAATATAAAATAAAAATATAAATAATGAAAAATAAAGTGACAAAAAATAAAGTGTCAGTGTAGGACAAATGTTACATATTTAAAGGTTACAATATTTATGTACATTAATGCCATAAAATAAAATAGAATATGACTCTTACTCAAGGCATCTCTTTCTCTCTCATAAAGGATTTCTCTTACCCTTGACAAATGTGGGCAGATGTGTAGTAGCCCAGCCCTGCTGAGAGGAGAAGGATGGAGAGCGTACGTGCAGATGAGTGGATGGAGAGATGGAGTTTAGAAGAGTGGATAAGGTCAGTGCTTGTCAGCACCCTCTCTGCATTTACTGCTGTTTACTCTGGAGCTCCTGCTGAGGGGACACCTGGCGTGCTGTCACCATCTGCACCACACACATACACACACACACACACACACACACACACACACACACACACACACACACACACGCACACAAACAAATGAGGACTGTAAACTCTTGCACAACATATTCAAAAATCAGCATGCGCATGCAGAAGCACACGCACACGCACGCACATGAGCAAAACAACAACATGCAAAGCCTAACAAAGCCTGGAGTTGGACATCTTTACACACACTTCTCACCATTCGCCTTTTCACTCACTCGTGTTGAGACCGAAGAGCTCTCCATGGTGCTGAAAACTTTCTGCGATTCCACTGCTAAAGTAAAAAAGACAGAAAAGCTGAGTAAGAAAAGTACTGAAAAGAAAATGTTACTTTATTTATTTTATTTTTTATTAACGAGCAACTTGTTTAGACAGACTTCTGTTTAGTGCATGATTTGCATGACACTTTCTTATATATCAGCGTTACCTAACCCGTCATACAAAGACACGTACTTATTCTAGTGTAGGTGTAGGTGGTGATGGGAGAAAGGGGAGTTTCCCAATGACTCATTTTTATGCTGAAAATAACCAAGGAATGCACATACATACTGTACACTGTACATCAAAATGCATGGCCTTTTCATGAATAGAGTCATCCATCCATCCATCTATCTTCCATACCGTTTATCCGACACAGAGTCACGGGGGAGCCAGATGCCTATCCAGGGAACTCGGGGCACAAGGCGGGGGACACCCTTCACAGGGTACCAACCCATCGCTCTCACATTCACACACTACGGACAATTTGGAAATGCCAATCAGCCTACAATGCATGTGTTTGGACTGGGGGAGGAAACTGGAGTACCTTGAGGAAACCCCTGAAGCACAGGGAGAACATGCAAAGTCTGCACACATAGAGCGGAGGCGTATCTGTATGGTTCATTACAATAATCGGGCCTATGCTGGAATAAGACCAGAAATCCTGTTGACTCAAGACTCAAGGGCCCAGTCGTGGAAATTTGACAGCAGTGGGATTTAAACTCATAACCTTCTGATCAGTAGTCCAACATCTTAACCGCTGGGCTACCACAGCCCCAACACTGGGTGGGAGGTGGGAATACACCCTGGATGAGATGCCAGTCCATTGTAGGACACCACACACAATTATTTGATGAAAACTTGCATTATGTCTCGAGAGAGGGAAAAAACAATGGGATGTTTTACATCTGTTTACTAGCTGTTATAATGTAAGTGATAGAAGAACAAACTTGTTTTACTGGTCTTCTACAACCTTCAACTTAACTATAGAATGATATAAAAGTACTATGTGCCATTGGCAAACTGCTGTGGTATAAGAGTAATAAAGCTCTTTGAGACATGCTGTTATTGGAAAATGAACAAGTTTGGGGGGTGACTGTAAATTAGCTTTGCATCAGAGTGCATTCCTCTACACTGTTATTTTATTATTACTTTCCAGCAACAGCATGCCCCATGATGGTTAATTTCATACTCAGAGCTTACTTTACGAATGCCCTTTGCTGAAAAATCATGAAAAGGTTCTAACACAGCTGCCCTGTGATTTTCTGTTCTTTTTTCAAAACTAAAAATATCTTGCCTGTGGACTAAGTTGAAAAAAATAAAAAACCCCACTGGCTTTAATGTTTGGGTGTATTGGTGCAGACATCGTGAACATTAGCAAATGAGCATTGCATTGTGATGTTATGATGTGTGTTACACTGTGAAATTGCATTAAAACGATGCCTTTGTTAACGTAGGCCCCTGTAGAGCCAAACCGAGTGCTTGATCTTTGCTGTGAAGGAAATGATAAAACGGCGTGCGTGTCGCCGTTTGTTCTCTCCCCCGTCGTGTCGTCCAGGTTTAAAGACGCATCCGGATATGTGATGTGTGCAGTTTTGCTGCGGCTAGGAGCAAATTGGCTACGGCCTGCTGTGTTCCAGCCACATCCACCTCATATCGTGGTTCATTACTGCTCCAATTCAAAGTGGTACTGATGCACGCAGACCCACTTGCAAGTATACACATGTAGCTATATGGACTGACGCAAAAGTGAAAAAAAAGCCCCCTTCAGACTTTGTGTATGTGTTATTGTGTGTGTGTGTGTGTCTGTGTGTTTGCGAGTGTGTGTGCACTTTGTTTTCATGTGCGTGAAAGCACTGTATGCTTAGGGGTGCGTGAGTGACACACGGGGATTCTGACAGGTTGCCTCGGAGATCCCACAGGACAGGACGCAGAGCAGTGAAAACCAACCAATTTGTTTCCCCATTCCAGATTGATGAGCACACACACACACACACACACACACAGTAGAGTCAGTCACCACTGTTCAGCCAGGCTTTACCTGACAGGAGCAGATTTGTGGGTTATGAGAGAGAGAGAGAGAGAGAGAGAGAGAGAGAGAAATGGGATGAGCAGACAAGGGGACAGGGGAGGGTTGCCAGGTCTGCTTGGTAAAAGTAGCTCAATGGCCATTCCAAGAACTTTTCCCCTACTAAACCCTATACAATGCGCTGAAAGCGTCAATAATATATTGACAAATTAACATCTTTAAAAAACCCCCAAAAAACATGTCCTGTGATTGGCTGCTCAGTGTTTTTCCTTTATTACCACTCTGACTTTGCCTATATTCTCTAGTTAGGTAACGACACTTTAACTTATGTTTAGTGATTGGACTGGTGGATGGCGAGTGGCTCGGCCACTTTCTTCAACTTACAGCAAAGCCAAAATACATCACATTTTTCTTCACAGTTTCTTAGGATGCACTTAATGGCTAAAAGTTTGTTGACACCTGACCATCACTTGCTTTTACCCATGTGAAAAACTATTTGCCCCCTTAAACTTAAAATCGGCTTGTGCCAACTTTAGCAGCAATAACTGCAGCCAAACGCTTCCGATAACTGGAGATCAGTCTTTCACAGCACTGTGGAGGAATTTTGGCCCACTCTTCTTTGCAGAACTGCTTTAGTTCAGCCACACTGGAGGGTTTTCGAGCATGAACTGCATAATTTACATTTATGTTTATTTACATTTATTCACTTAACAGACACCTTTATCCAAAGCGACTTACAAATGAGAAAAATACAAGCAAAATCCAGTTGGAATTGAGTTTCATTTTACGAACTGAAGACCAGACATTCTGCTTTAGGATTTTCTGGTAGAGAGCAGAATTCAGAATTCCCTCAATTATTGGAAGTTGCCCAGACCCTGAAGTGACAAAGTATCCCTACACCATCACACTTCCACCACCACCATTCTTGATCGTAGGTATGATGTTCTTTTTGTGGAATTCTGTGTTTGGTTTACACCAGATGTAACAGGACCCCTGTCTTCCAAACAGTTCCACTTTTGACTCATCAGTCCACAGAACATTCTCCCAATAGGTTTGAGGATCAAAGTGTGTGTTTCGGCAAAATTCAGTTTCTTAATGTTCTTCTGGGTTAGTGGTTTTCACCTCGCCACTCTTCCACGGATGCAATTTTTGCCCAGTGTCTTTCTGATAGTCATGAACACTGACCTTTATTGATGCTAGAGAGGCCTTTTGAGGTTGTTTTCCTCATTTGGAAATAAAGGCTTTCACTGTGGTTCTTTGGTTTTTGCCTTTGAAATAGCTGTGTAACCCTTCCCAGACTGATGTATTTCAATCACCTTCTTTCTCATCATTTGGAATTTCTTTAAATTTTAGCATAGTGTGTTACTGGGTAAGACCTTTTAACCAACTTCATGCTGTTGAAAAAGTTATATTTAAGTGTAAATTTGATTGAACAGGGTTTGCAGTAATCACGAATGATTGTGTCTAATCCAGCTGAACCCCATTATGAATGCAGTTTCATAGATCTGGGGAGTTAGTAACTACGGGGGCAAATACATTTTCACACAGGCCCATTTGGTATTGGATAACTTTTTTGCTTCAGTAAATAACATTTTCGTTTAAAAACTGTATTTTGTCTTAACTCAAGTTGCCTTTCTTTTATCTTAGATTTTGTTTTAATTTCTGAAACATTTTAGTATGAGATCTACACAAATCCAGAAGAAATCAGAATGGGGACAAGTACTTTTTCACAGCACTAAAATTGTTTGCTGTTATTACATATATTATCTTACATAAAGAAAATGAATTATGAGCTTCTGTCTGAATTTTGTGCCAAAAATGAGTTAACGTTATACTTACTGTTAAAATATTTAAATGCATATACATGAATATATGAGATTATTATTATTTTTTTTTTACATCTGAATATTGCTTAAAAGTATTAAAAAATGGTTATGACTTGCAGACAGTGGGATGCAAGTATAGGGTGTTTTACAATAAGACAAACCAGCAAACAAAACCAGAAGATAAGATCATACTTATCTTAAAACCCCTCCACAAACCAACAAAAGGTAATATGAGCAGCAAACAGCCTTGAACCAAACAGGCAAAAGCTAGGGTCAAAACCAGAGAGACAGGAATGGCTAAGTTGTGTCACAGACATGACTGCAGGAGCAAGACTTCAGAATCTCTCGAAATTATGTGTTCATGTATAATGCATCTAGCTTAGAGGCAGGCTTATGCAAAACTCCCAAACTTCAACATGCAGACCAACAACCTTCCCCTATTACATCCATTTCAGAAGAAAACAATGGCAACCATGTGGTTGTAAACTTTTGCGTGTGTCTTTTCATTCAGAAAGCCATGATTAGAAAGAAAAGAGAGGAACAGGATCAATAAATTTTGTGTGACTCCATGTGTAATTAAAAAAAAAACACCTAGCCTTTTTAATGTATTGTCTCAGTTTAATATAATTACTTAAATTACGTCTAAAAGAAACCTTGTCATTGACATTTGCTATCCATTTCACATTATAATATAAGCTAATAAATTTATTGGCTATTACATTGTAGTATATGCTTAGTATAACTCTATAATTCCTATTATACTTCTGTGTATGTGAGTTTCTTCTGTTTTCATTAGTGTTCTCCCATTTCCCCAAAACATGCTGCCATACTGGATGGTCTGCTCTTTTCTTTTTTTCCGGCCAAGAACAACGTTGGACCGGGCAGCATACTGGAGCATTCACATGCCTATTGGACTAGCTAATGAATATATGATTTGTACTTGCAACATGCAGCTAATTACCCAACAATTTGATCATGCACAGTCACCCAGAGTGAAATGTTTGATTCTGTTGTAAGAATCAATGACTCCAGTCGACGTCTATAAATCTATGAGAATTGACACAATCTTCTAACCATAGTCTGGCTAAAGGGAACACTGGGATGTTAGAGGGAGAGCCAGAGCGATATTGAAAGTGAGAGGGCTTCTGTGGCACACTGATGTAAGACATGTTATGGTGGCAAAAGTAAACATAGGAATATATCAATAATATAATACATAATCATGTTGTTAATGCCTGCAGCTACAGCATGATGCAAACACAGCCATTATAAGCACACAGTCTATATTGTGTTCATATGAATTCTGCCATTGGGTACATTACTGTGGAAATGTAATGTGGTACTGATGATGAATTAGATGAGTGAAGAAGTAATCAGTCTTGTGTTCGTATTCATGCCTTTGACATTGAAAAGCGATCACATGATACACTTCCTTTTTAAGTGGTAAAGAGAAGGCTGTTGCTAGGCATATGCTAGCTAATGACTCAGGTCAATCATTTAGCTAGCTAGCACATAGTCATTAAGTCTTTTATGCACAGTGTGAAGGAATAGTGACAGAGGAAACTAAGTAAAACTGTTGGGAACAACAAATTTTCCCTCAGACGTCTTGTTAGATTTGAAAGAAAAGACTGTATAATTAAAATCTGATTGTAATTACAGTTAGAAGTCAGAGCTAGCAAAAGTTTCATAGGTGAATGCATAGTGATAGAGGAAACAAGACCAAACCATCAGGAACCATCATAAACAATTCCCTCATATGCCGTGTGTTGTAAGATTTTTAAGAATATACTTTAAGTTACCAAAATTGCAACGTAAGTAAATTTAGCACTGACCACTAACAGAACTTTCATAGGTGAAGGAATAGTGATAGTGGAAACAAGAAACAAACATCAAGAATGTCAAATTTCACCTCAGATGCATT